TCCGGCTCGAAGCACCAGGCGTTGAGGCAGATCGCCACGTCGTAGGCGAAGAGGTCGTTGCAGGCGAAGTAGAAGTCGATCAGCCCGGTCAGCTTCTCGTGCCGGAAGAAGACGTTGTCCGGAAACAGGTCGGCGTGGATCACGCCGGCGGGCAGCTCGGCCGGCCAGTGGGCCTCCAGGAAGTCCAGCTCGCGCGCCAGCTCGCCGGCCAGCTCGGGCCGCACCTCGTGGGCGCGCGGCGCGCAGGCCTCGAACAGCGGGCGCCAGGCGGCGACCGACAGGGCGTTGGGGCGCGACAGCGGGAAGTCGCGGCCGGCGAGGTGCAGCCGGGCCAGCGCGGCGCCCAGCTCGCGGCAGTGCTGGGGATGGATGCGCCGCGGCCAGAGCCCTTCGAGGAAGGAGATGATCACCGCCGGCCGCCCGACCAGCTCGCGCAGGGCCCGGCCGTCGCGCGCGTGCACCGGCAGCGGGCAGGCGATGCCGCGCTCGGCGAGGTGCTCCATCAGCCCGAGGAAGTAGGGCAGGTCCCGGGGGTCGACCCGCTTCTCGTAGAGGGTGAGGATGAAGTTGCCCTGCTCGGTGGTCAGCAGGAAGTTGGAGTTCTCGACCCCTTCGGCGATGCCCTTGAAGGCCAGCACCTCGCCGAGGTCGTAGTCGGCCAGGAAGGCCTCCAGCTCCTCGTCGGAAACTTCCGTATAGACCGCCATTCGCACCCGCCGCCGGACCCGCCTGCCGGGTCGGCGCCCGCCCTCTTCCGCGCCTCGCCTCGTTGCCGCCCCGCCGATCCGACCGGCGACCTTCCGGCGCCGGACGGCAATCTCAGGTCGGCCGTCAATGCTTCGCCATCAATGCCATGGACGCCGGCCCGGCGAAAGGGGGCGGCGCGCGGCGGCGGGTCGGCTCAGGCCACGCCCTGCTGCGAGCGCAGGCGGCCGGCGCCGACCGCATCGGCCTCCTGCAGCACGCGCGGCAGCTTGAAGTGGACGTTCTCGGTCACCGTCTCGGCCAGGCGCAGCGAGACCTCGCGGCGCTGCTTGAAGGCCTCGATCACCTCCTGCACCAGCACCTCGGGCGCGCTCGCCCCGGCGGTCAGACCGACGTGGCCGACCTCCTCCAGCTCCGCCCAGGGGATGTCGGCGGCACGCTGCACCAGGAAGGCCTTGGGGCAGCCGCTGGTCCGCGCCACCTCGACCAGCCGCTGGGAGTTGGAGGAGTTGGGCGCGCCGACCACCAGCAGCACGTCGCAGCGCCCGGCAATGTCCTTGACCGCCTGCTGCCGGTTGGTGGTGGCGTAGCAGATGTCTTCCTTCTTCGGGCCGTGGATGTTGGGAAAGCGCGCCCGCAGCGCCTCGACCACGGCGGCGGTGTCGTCGACCGACAGGGTGGTCTGGGTGATGTAGGCGAGGCTGTCGGGATCGGGCACTTCGAGCGCCGCCACGTCGCCGACCTCCTCGACGAGCTGGATCGCACCCTCGGGAAGCTGGCCCATGGTGCCGACCACCTCGGGGTGGCCGGCGTGGCCGATCAGTAGGATGTGGTGGCCGTCCTTGAAGTGGCGCTCGGCCTCGACGTGCACCTTGCTGACCAGCGGGCAGGTGGCGTCGACGTAGACCAGCTTGCGGCGCTCGGCCTCGTTGGGCACCGCCTTGGGCACGCCGTGCGCCGAGAAGATCACCGGCGCGTCGTTGGGCACCTCGTCGAGTTCCTCGACGAAGACCGCGCCCTTGGCCTCCAGGCCCTCGACGACATAGCGGTTGTGGACGATCTCGTGGCGGACGTAGACCGGGGCGCCGAACTTCTCCAGCGCCCGCTCGACGATCTCGATGGCGCGCTCGACGCCGGCGCAGAAGCCGCGCGGCGTCGCCAGCTCGATCGTCACGGGGCCACGCGCGTCGGCGGGCTTGTCCATCCCTGCTGTCTCCCTCGTCCATCGCGACCGGAAAGCCTGCGCAGCGACATTGCACTCCGGGGCCCGGCCGCGCTATCCATCCTCGCCTAACATAGGACCGCAAGGCGAGAAAAGCGACATGGCGGAGCAGCCGATTCCGGCGCAGAAGGCCCCCTACCCGACCCAGGTGAAGGCGGGGCGCACCTACTACTGGTGCGCCTGCGGCCGCTCGGCCCGGCAGCCCTTCTGCGACGGCTCGCACAAGGACACCGGCCTGGCGCCGCTCGCCTGGAAGGCCGAGGCCGACGGCGAGGTCTTCTTCTGCGGCTGCAAGCAGACCGGTACCCCGCCGCTGTGCGACGGGACGCATAGCGCGCTGTGAGGCGGAGTCTTGCGCTACTCGCCCTGCTGACGCTCAGCGCCTGCAGCAGCGTCGACGGCCTGTTCGGCGGCGACGAGGGCCCCGACCTGACCTGCCCCGGCATCGTGCCCGTGGTCGATGCGCAGGAGATGACCCGCTTCGTCCCCGGCGGCCGCGACCTGACGGAGGTTGACTTCCGCGCCCGCCTGGCCGACGTGCGCGCCGAGTGCGCCACCGACGAGGAGGAGATCGAGCTGGCACTGCAGGTCATCCTCTCCGCCAGCCGCGGCCCGGCCAACGCCGAGGGGGCGGCGACCTTCGACTACTTCGTCGCGGTCGCCAGCCGCGACGAGGAGATCCTGGCGCGCGACGCCTACAGCGTCACCATTCCCTTCGAGGGCAACCGCACCACCGTCGGCCTGCTCGACGAGGTCGACGTGGCTATTCCGCTGGCCGAGGGGCAGACCGGGCGCGAATACCGCATCTTCGTCGGCCTCGCCCTGACGGCCGAGGAACTGGCCTGGAACCGGGAGAACCGCTAGAGCGCGCCGCGTGCCGCCGGTGCCGCGGGCGGACCGGCCGACGGCCGATTGACTTCGCCGCGGCGATGCTTAGTCTGACGCGTGCGTCGTTAGAGTCCCGACTGGGAGAGACCGGGCCGTGTTCGTGCACGTGCCCGGCGCCGAAGGAGCAACCGCCCCGGAATCTCTCAGGCAAACGGACCGGGCGGGACGGACACGACGCCTCTGGAGAGCGGGCGCGCCCAGGCAACACGGGCGGCCCCACCGAAGGGGTAAAGCCGCCGGCCGTCCACAGGCCGGGGCCAATCTCTCAGGTTCGGTGACAGAGGGGGCTTGGAGCTGTCGGCCGCTGTGGTCGGCGGAGCTTTCAAGGCCCTGAAGGACACGCGCCGAACCCGCATGACCGAGACGACTCCCGAGACCCGTTCCGATCCCCGCCCGACGCCGCTGGCGGCCCTGCACCGCGAGCAGGGCGGCAAGCTGGTCGACTTCGCCGGCGCGCTGCTGCCGCTGCAGTTCCCCGCCGGCATCATGGCCGAGCACAAGCAGTGCCGCGACTCGGCGGCGCTGTTCGACGTCTCCCACATGGGCCAGGTCGAGCTGACCGGCAGCGGCGTCGCCGCCGCGCTGGAGCGGCTGGTGCCGGGCGAGCTGCAGAAGCTGCCCGAGGGGCGCCAGCGCTACACCTTCTTCACCAACGCGGCCGGCGGCATCCTCGACGACCTGATCGTCGCGCGCCTGCCCGCGGCCCCGCCCGCGGCCGACGCCGACGCCGACGCCGACGAGGAGGAGGAGCAGGAGGAGGACGATGATGACAGTGATGATGATGCTCGTCGATCACGAAGGCGATGACGGTGGTGATGATGAGGGCGCACCTTGCGACACGAGATCATNNGACGCCGACGCCGACGCCGACGCCGAGCGCTTCTTCGTGGTGGTCAACGCCGCCTGCAAGGCGGACGACCTGGCCCACCTGCGCGCCAACCTGCCGGGCATCGCGGTGCGCGAGCTGGACGACCGCGCCCTGATCGCGCTGCAGGGGCCCAAGGCGGTCGAGGTGCTGACCCGCCACGCGCCGGCGGCCGGCGAGCTGCGTTTCCTCTCGCTCGCCGAGATGGAGGTGGCCGGCGTACCGGCGCTGGTCAGCCGCTCCGGCTACACCGGCGAGG